AATCTTATTAGAACATTGTCTGACAATCCACTATTACCTATACTGTTCCCCTCCCCTCCCCCTCATGCTCTCCACTTTAGGGTGGAGGGATGCAGCGTATCCTGCCCGGGCCGTCAGGACATCATGCCACAAACGCGTGACATGCGAACGATCAAGGTCATGGCCTCCTGTTCACACCGTCTTTGTGCTGATTGGCCACCCATCAGCCTATGACAGTTCCCCTTGCCATATACCCGGCCGTTTCCACAAGCCTCCTCACTTGTGCTGTCTATCGTACTCAGTACACGTCCTATTTCCAATTAGCCTTCTGTTTTGCATACATAACAGAGGACATGTTTCAGTGGCACATTTCACCCAATCCTCGTGGTCACTCGATGAAGTTACGGACAACAATGTCCAGGCTGAATCTCCGTTCTGAATTTTTCACGCAGAGGGTAGTGGAGAAATGGAATGATCTCCCTCAGTCAGTCGTGGAGGCTACGTCCCTGCAACTCTTCAAGAAACGCTTGGATGATTATTTGTGTCCCCTGTTTGCCCTCGACAGTCTAAATCCGAACTAATACCCCACGACCCCGCAAATATTTTCTCTGAGACAATGCTACTCAAATGAATCAAGTACTGTTTCAATGGCGAATGTTTTTATTGTTCATGTACAGTTATTTCTAACGAGCTGACATGTAATGATTAGGGTTTTCAAAGGCTTTGCCTATTATCCTTACCAAATAAACTGAAATAAAGTGAAACTGAAAAGCTTGGATCTTCTCCTACAGCAATTATACTTTGACCTGTTACAGTAAACCATTATATTCCCATCTTTCATTATATTATTCAATTGTTGGGTATTTGTGACGGCTAATGAAAATTCTAACAAAATCACACTACACGGAAACGAACCTTTGAGCACAGGTGCGAAACCGGAAGAATCCACAACACTACAGAGCCCTGTGTGCATGGGTACTGCAATGTCTGGCCGCCACAACAGACTGGCTAAAAGGTCTATAGCAGGCAGCCAAACAGACAAATTCAGAAGATGTGCAACCGCAACACCAAAGGCAATTTAAAAGGCAATGTAAAAAATAAAATATGACAAAAGTCTGACAACTACGACCTAGAAAAAAATAAAATGGATTGTAGAAAGAAAGAGGAAATCGTTCGCATAGAAACGGAAATCACGGCTCCTTGTTACCCAGATCCTCATCGCCTCTAAAATTGATCAGTCGTCCCATACTTATCTCACAATAGACTTAGCCAAAGTCATTAAGCAAACCACAGGATTAATCCAAGCAGTAAGCTTTATTCTGAACATCAAATCTACCGAGAGCTAACTGCAACTCTTAACCCTAAACCCGACGAGGTGTAACGCCCCTTGGCCTGAACAGGGTTGTTCGAATAGTGGAACACTTTTTGGCGCGTACCTGGGATGGCGATAGTGTAACTGCGTGTTGGTGAAGGCGGCCGATGTCCCTTCCTATCGCTATCGCCGACGCCCCCTCCCACAACGCACCGCCGTTCTCGTCCCTCTCTCACTCAACGTCGGCTACCCCCACGGCCCTTCCTTGCAGTTGCCCACAGCGCTGCATTCCCACCGGCTTTTTAGCTAGTATGTCAGGGTCGCCTATCCATCCAGACAAGTTATCACATTGCAGTTTCTCATTTCATATTCATAGTAATTAGTATTATACACATTTCCCGTGCCCATATTATATCCCTTTCTTGACGTACATTCTCCTGTTGCGTGTACATAAGTATCAAGAGATCCCAAAAGTTCTGTTCAAATCTATTTCCGCCCGGACCTCTTCTCAGCGTTTCCTTACATTGGTGTGCGTTACCCTTGACGTCATCGGCCGCTGCAATGGGACGTTATATAAGAACACCCATGGAAAGAAAGTTAGCCAATCACCGAGCAGGTATTGGTGACCAATGGGGAATGCGTGGGCAGCGGCGACCCTACAAGAATTCGTCTGCTGTTCGTCGCTTTGACGCGATGTAATGTCCCACGACCTGTAGAGGGTTTTTTTGAATAAAGGAACACTTTCTGTACACTTTCGTACAATCATTTTCCTCATATGTATTCTCAGTTTCCATCTTCTCCCATTCAATCGTATTGCCTACTTAACGTTTCTTCCCTTGCGTATGGATGAGTATTGAGACATGTTAACAGCTCTGCTCAGATCACTCTTAACTACGATCCCCTCCCAGTGTTTCGTTACCTCGGTGTTGTCTATCCTTAACGTACTCAGCCGCTACGACAGGTGGACCTATTAGCAGACATAACCATGGTTATTTGTCAGAATATAGGCGGACCGTTCAATTCTGCACTATGTTAAACTCAAACTAGTATAAAGTTAGCACTATAAAACACATGGATGTTGTAGCATCACATCCCCAATTTGTAATTAGTATGCTAATTATTCAGGTTATGTGACAGAGTGGTGCTTGTAGAATTTAGCAGAAAGTAGAACAAGTATACAAGCGCCTTTTAAGACCAATGCAGGCGTTCCGATTTCAATTAATCTCGGATAGTTTCGGCGGCTGCGCATCCAGCCGATTGTTCCCTAAGAGCTCGTTGACGTTACTCTCGCGAAAAAAATAAACTCCGAAACATGGAGAGGAAACTAGGCGAAAGGCAGTTTAGTAAAGTTCCCTGGCAGTGAGAATCTGTCGACTGTTGTCGTGCAGGTATGACTAGCCGCAATTTTTGCTAGCCGTCGCTCTGTCACGCGTGTGGCTTTATAACTGTGGATTTTTCGTTACCGTTTTACCGGTAAGGGTTGGAAGCCACCCGAAATCTAAAACTAAATGTAAGGCGTCAATCGCGCGCTTTTTTGTGGCCATCTTGTTCAATGGGGGGGGGGAGGGGAAGGAAGTTCGCATGAATGTTTATTTCGAGATCGCCAAGGTAACTTCTTCCCATTTCACATAAACTGCGTCTCAAACCGTGCTTTTAACAACGTCCAGACGTGGAACCACACTCCTCAAGAATATTTTGTTATGTGGAGCCGGTGTACACATTGGGCGGTGGAAGCTCACATTTAATGTGCGACAATTTGTACACGTTATAGCTTGCCGGGATTCGTCCTTTGGTGGATTATTGTGTAAAACCATGCGAACATCGACGCTACACACTGTGGACGTTGCATGATTATTCAAAGAGCGTTTGCTTACCCTTAGCACATGGAGGAGTAAGGACGCAGGGACTAATAGATGTCTCCCTCTCTATCACTATGCTGCCACTGACAGCTATGGTTGACATGAAATTACAGTTGCTCCGAATTATCCAACCTGAATTTCACTTATGTGGTTAGAACAGCTGTAGCGGAAAGTTGCGTTCATACATCTACTTGGTGCCGTACTCAGCGTTTCTCTGTGTAAGTTCCGATAGTTAGAGTTGATTATACATGCTTCTTGATGCATTCTATGTGTCTCTCAACGTTAAAATTGAAATCCCAGTAAGTACGAGGCGACCAATAAAGTGCCGAATATTGAGATCTGCCCGCATCCTGGTGGCGCTTTTGCAACAGAGCTTATGTGCTCACCACCTGGGGGTGCTGTGGAGTGGGGTAAAATGAGGTCACATCGGAAGACACTGCAACCAATAGTGCCCATATGCCCTTTACTGGAAGGGTTTTAGTGTCAGCGCCTACTGTTATGCTTTCACCAACGTCAGTTACCTTAACTTGGTGTCAATGTCTGCCCGCGTTGACCGTGCTTTTGATTTTTAGGGACCTGATCTAGGTGGAATGTTTTTGTTTTGTTAACTCCACGTCTGCAGCGACTATACTGGCTGCAACCATCTCATTTTTTGGTTTCAGCTTGCGCAGGGCAAGTATTACTGGGGCCAAAAACGCTCAGCCCATAGGCAGCTGGACACATGTTCCCTTTCAGACGCCCCTGGACACAATCCGTGTTGACGTGTTGGAAAGTCAAACGGTCAGTCAAAACTGGGAAGAGGTCCAAATTGAAGAAAGAGTTCCAGAAAGAACTCGAAAGTGACCCTACGGCTGCTGAAAAAATTGAGACCTTGTCAACCTCCCTGTTGAACGACTTACCCGGAACAACTGGAGAAGCGATTTCCAGGGCTCACGAAATTCAGCGTAAACGAGTAAAGGCGGCCATTATTTTCCGCAAAAACTTCAGGTATTCCTGTAAATAGCGCCTTTGGACTAACCTCTCACTTGCAGTCCTCCCGCGGAATCAAGCGTCCTGACCTGGCAAGCGAAGGAGCAAATTATTTACCTTTCTTCTCACAGTCCTGATGAATGGAGTGCCGAGACAATCAGCAAGCACTTCCCAATATCCGACCCTGGAGCTTCGAAATTCCTGTTCAAGTCCCAGAAGAAGCCCAATCGGGTCTTTCGGTCTCTCAAAAGTATCATTCGTCATGATACCGCCTGCATCGGTCGCTGGATAAACATAATAAACGTAATCGTTGAGCTACAGTTGGAAATGGGCTACATTAGGCCTACTCTCTCCGCTGTCTTAAACGCCCTCAGCCATAAACTACCCCGTGATCTGCGTTGGGTTGGTCTTCACAACTTTTTAGACCTTCTTTCCTTCGCCGACGGAAATGCCTGTCTTCCTTTTCCGCCAGAAACATCTCTTGATGCATACCAGCGCAAAATATCGGAACACAATCCGGGACCTTTTCAGAGGATAGCCGAGAATATACAGAAACCACTTTTACCGGACAGTAATCTCGTCCTCATGAGAGGGCAGCAGCTTGATGCTATCAGTATGATTATCGGCCTTTTCAAAGACCAGGATTTTTCCCCTTTTGTCAACAGCCTTCGCAAGAACCCCTCAACGAGTTTTCCATTTGTATTCCGCGAGTGGCTTTTACTTAATTCCCCCAATAGTCAGCCGTCGATACTGGAGAAGAACAATCCGAGTTTCCTTAAAATGCGATCAACAACAGACACCGACTTTTCGAAACTATTTCGTTTCAAACGTATCGATGGATAATTTCGTCACATTCTCAATAAACGTGCGTATCTTATCAAAACATCTCTTCTGCTATGTTTGGACCGTGTGCACTTGCCATTTAAATTGTGTCGGTTGGAACTGTTGTGACATGTCTTTATTTAATTTATTTCAAAATGGTCCCAGCAACACATTCGTTTTAACCTGGTGACGCTTCACTTTGACATTTGCGAAGAATTCAACCGAATGTATTTGTATGTAATCCAAA